ACAAACCTGCACATCCTGCTGAACCTGAACTTAAAAGTTAAAAATTATGATGTTGTCTTGAGAGAATGTTAAGTCCATTCCTGTCCTTTGGGCAGACCTTAAATCTGTATTAGACAGATGAAACTCTTTTTCTTTTTTTTTTTTGTTATTGTTTCTTGATTTTCTTTTTATTTTATTTTATTTTATTATACTTTAAGTTCTAGGGTACATGTGGATAACGTGCAGGTTTGTTACATATGTATACTTGTGCCATGTTGGCGTGCTGCACCCATCAACCTCGTCAGCACCCATCAACTCGTCATTTACATCAGGTATAACTCCCAATGCAATCCCTCCCCCCGAAACTCTCTTTTTCATACATGATTTATGTTCTATTTTAAACATAGAAAACTTTCTATATGAAAATGGAAATTTCACTTTTCCTTAGTAATTTATTCTAGGGTCTTCTAATGTTCATTGTTAGAATATAGAAGTATTCTTAACGTCTGGTCATTTTCCTGAGGAAGGGAATGTCTATTATTACTTGAAATACACAAACCCCTCAAAGATTAATATGTGGGTCCTTGGCTTTTCCCCAGGTCAAAGGTTTATAACTTTACCTTAGAGGCAACTCAATCATTTTCTTTATGAATCATTTCAGAATGTTCTCTGTCCGAATTAAAGTATGTAAAGATCAATTGCTTTTGCAGGGGGTCTGTGCAGACTTAAATACTGATCCTTGTCTCTCCCTTTCTGTCCCCAAAGTTTTTGTGTTTTGTTACCTTTATGCCTTCTTTTAGCTTGATGATCTACTGTATGTATTTCAATGGTAAATAGTGCTGGGCTCAGGGATGTGCTATTCCCCACATTGGCTAATCTATGTCAAAATACTTGTGGTTATGATTTTAATTTGAACGCTTAAAATTCCAGGGCACTGACATATTTTCCCCTCCCTTCTCCTTATAATGAATGTTAGTGTCTGTGCTGACCATAATTTTACAGCCATTTGGATCTCAAGATATTTGCTTGCCAACTATATGAAACCATTTATGAGCATTTTTTTTCCTACTAGCTCACAGTACCCAGCATTATAATTTGTACATAGTATAGGCATGTTTGGTTAACTATAAAGTCTATGAAAAATTGAGTTGTAGTGTCATTTTAATTCAAATCCATTGTATACTATATTAAATTGATGATGGTCTATCAATTGCAAAACGAAATTGCAAAACCAAAACCAAAACCAAATTTTTGAGCTTCTATCTTGAAGCTTTTCCCTTTCAAAAAAGATGTATTTTTTTAATGACTCATTCATGTAGGACACTAGAACCATATAAAGTGGCATTTCTTTTTCTATTGTTAAACAGAGTGCAAATGGCAAGACATTAATAAAGCCTGTAGCTCAGTAAATCCCACAGGATCAAGGCCACCTTCATTGCAGTTCAGCTTTATTAGACTGTTTGGATCATAAGAGGAGATGATTTTAGCTGAAGTACATAACAAAAAGGGAAATTGGACACATGGCTACAATCAAATTTAAGAATGCACTTGAAATACAGCTTAGCACATGTCAGGTGCAGCAGAAGCAGGTGGAACTCTTGGAACAGGACAAGGCTTGACTACTCCTGACTTTGAGTTACATGTGCTATCACAGCATCTAACACTTTACTACTTATATTCCTGCATCAGTCCTAGATTATAAGCTCTTAAGGGACAGCGACTGTGTCTTACACTTTGTATACCCAATGCTGATTACTGAGGCTGGTTCCTAGAATCAATGCATGTTTATTGAACAGAAAGATGTACAAGTCAGAGACATAAGAATCCTTCTTGACATCTCCCTCTCCCTCACATCCATAACCAATCTATCACTGAATCTTTTTTACCACCTAACTATTGTTTTAAAGCAGATCACTGCAGTGGCCTCTGGACTGGTGTCCTCCCACTACTCCACTCCCTCTTTTATTTCTTCTCACATAACAGCCAGAATGTTCTTTTAACAACACAGTCATACAACCTCTTCAAAGACTTTTTGCTGTCTTTTTTTTTTTTTCTTTTTGAGACAGGGTCTTGGTCTGTCACCCAGGCTGCCAGGCTGGAGTGCAGTGGCACAATCACGGCTCACTGCAGCCTTGACTTCCTAGGCTCAAGTAATCCTTCCACCTCAGCCCCCTTCGTAGCTGGGACTGCAGGTGCATACCACCACACTGGTTAATTTTTTAAAAAATTTTTGTGGAGATGGGATCTCACTGTGTTGTCCAGGCTGGTCTTGCACTCTGGAGCTCAAGCAATCCTTCTGCCTCAGCCTCCCAAAGTGTTGGGATTATAGGCATGAGCCACCACAACTGGCTGTCCTTCTGTAGTAAGAGCTAACCATCATCATCATCATCATCATCATCATCATTATCTTGACAGTACTTTCTACAAGGTTATAAATAGGGTGATCACACATGTTATTAATACTCAAACACTTGAATATGAGGTGGGCACCATAGATAATCATGCAAGGATGGGATGGGAACCAGAACATGGGCTTGCCCTACTTGCAAGGCCCTGCACAACCTGGCCCTGCTCATCCCCCTTCCAGTCACTCTCTTTGCACCTGCGGCAAGGCTTGCTGTTCAGTCCTTCATACTGTCCAAGGGTACTTGCCACGTTTGCTCCTACCAGAGGACCTATTTAAGTGTTTTGAGTGCTGCCAACCTTTTTGTTCTCAGCTCCTGCATTTCATCTCATTGACTAGGTTAAATCTCCTACTGTAAGTTCTTGCTATACTCATAAATGCAATTTAATATTTATTTATTTGAATGAATAAATGAATGAATACTTGTGAGAGGTTGGTAATATTGTATTACTAATATACCAATTATGATGGAATATAGTGATCACAAAATGACAAAATAACCTATATATTTATATTTAAATTCTATATATTCAGTTTATGCCTTGTAGTTTAATGTGCAACTAGTTTCAATATTAACATTTCTAATATGCTATTTGATGTTTATTAAATGTACAGTAATTTATAAGAACAGCTTTGTAATGTCACAAATAAATTACCAAAATTTAAAGTTGGGTATGAATTCTTGAAAAGAAATTTTCCGTATTAAGAAATATGTGACACTTGGAGTCAAAATGTATAGAATTGGTTGATTCTGGAGCTAGATTATCTGGATTTAAATCATGACTTCACTGCCTACTGGCTGAGTAGTGTTCAGCAAGTTATTTAACTTCTCCATGCTTCTGTTTATTCATCCTTAAAATGGGTATAATGATGATGTCTATTTTGTAGAGCTTTTGTGAGAAATAAGTTTAGATAGATAGATAGATAGATAGATAGATAGATAGATAGCATTTAGAATGGTTTCCAGCACATAGTAAATAATAAATACTAGCGATTGCTGATGTTTGTGTTATTATATTTATTCATTCAACAAATATTTATTAAATATCTCCTTAGTTCCTGACATTGTTCTAGGTGCTAGGAATTCAGAAGTGATCAAGACTAATGTAATGCAGAGTAACCTACAAACACTTTAATTTCAGAATCTGATAAGTATTGTGAATGGAATAAACATAATGACTTGTTAGGGCATATTGTGCGGGAGGAGCTTTAGTTAACCTGAAGGATGAGAAAAGATCAGCACGCACAGAGCATCCTAGGTGGAGGAAAGACCAAGTGCGAAGGCCCTACAGTAGGTGTCTCAGTCCATTTTCTGCTGCTGTAACAGACTGGGTAATTCAAAAACGATGTAAGTGTATTTGACTCATGGTTCTAGAGGCTGGGAAGTTCAACAACATAGCAGTGCATCTGGGGAGGCCCTTTGTGCTATATCATCCTGTCAAGGGAGTGCATGAGACAGAAAGAGAATGGGGACCCAACTTGTCCTTTTTATGAGGACCCCACTCCCTTGATAACTAACCCTGTCCCACAGTATCAGCATTAATCCATTCCTGAAGGTAGAGCCTCCATGACCTAATCATATCTTCAAGGTCCTGCCTCTTATTGCAGTTATAGTGGCCATCACATTTCATCTGAGTTTTGGAGGGGACATTCAGACCACAACTCTGGGAAAGAGCGTGGCTTCGGTTTAAATGTGCAAGAAGTGAAGTGTGCCTGGAGTGCTCTGTGTGAGCAGAGACGGGAGGAGGCCTGAATGAAAGTTAGAAAGCTGATTATGCAGGTGGATCTTGGGGACTTTTGTAGAAAAATGAGGAGTCATATAATCCAGTTTATTGTGCTGATGAAGAAACAAAAACCTGTAAGTCCTGATGAGGATCATGTAGTTAATTAGTGACGCTAGAGCTAGAAGCCAAGTGTGCTGCATCCATATTAAAAAACATCATTGAAACAGATCTACAAAAACTGGACATATCTAGGATTCTATCCATTTTCACAAAGTAAATGTGCCTTTGTAACCATATCATTTTGACCTGCTTTTCATAAGCCATCCCATTCCCTTCACCCCCTTCGCTATCCTGTCCCTCAGAGGTAACCCTTATCCTTAACCTCTGACACCATAGATCAGTTTTACCTGGCTCTGAACTTTTATGAGCTTTTGAATAGTGGCACATGCTATCAGCTTTTTTGAAAATTCTGTCTGGCTTCTTTCGCTCGACTTGATGTGTGTGGGATTTACCCATGTTGCTGTGTGTAGCGATTGTTGCTCCATTCTCGCTGCCGTGCGCTGTTCCATTATGTGAATATACCACGAGTTTCCTGTGTTGCATCCCATTGAAAGTCACCGGAAGAGACCATTTCTGTGTGTGTATGAAAGGAAAGCTAGATTGTGATTCATGTCCTTTATGCATGTATGTTAATCTTGCTTATCCTACTTTTTTTAAACCAATTGAGGGTTATAGAGGTAACTTCGCTTTTATAGCTCGCATACACTTGACTGTTTTCTCGCAAACAGATTGCCTAGTTAAAACCAAAGGCTTGTATGTACAGGGATTTTTCCGAAGTGTCCCTTCAATAAGCTGTTCACTATAAGTGGAAATAACTTGGATGAACCTGTCAGATGCTTTCAAATGCGGGTATCATTGAGCTTTCAGCTTTTTGAAATATTATCTGGGGTATTGCATGTTTCCAGGGGGTAAAGGATTATTTACTTCTTAATTGGGCCAAATAGCCATCACTTTCATTTTAATATTAGGTTTGTTTAAATAATAGGTTTATTAATTAGATGAGTGCCACTTTCACGTGCACTTCAGTTTTGTTTTTGTTTTGTTTTTTAATATTTCAGATGACGTTGCTCCATATTTTAAAACGGAGCCAGGCCTGCCACAGATCCACCTGGAAGGGAACCGCCTTGTTCTCACCTGCCTGGCCGAAGGGAGCTGGCCTTTGGAGTTCAAGTGGATGCGCGATGGCCGCGAGCTCACCACCTACAGCAGCGAATATAAGTAATTGATCCCTTGAAAATAAGATCCCATTTCAGTCGATGTGTTTGGAATACTTGCCTTATTGGCCATCATAGCACAATGAGTGAAAATACTGGATGGAATTTCTAATGCATTCAAGATTAAATGAATAGATTTGAATATGTAATTAGAATGTGATTTGCTGTTCTCCTATAGGTTGTGTTTACACCTAGGAAGTCTATCATTATATTTGTAAAAGTAAGCCCGTTAGTGAAATTGTCAGTCAACAAAAAGCTATGGTTACAGAGCAATGCCAGTAACAGCTTTAGTATGATACATTTACTTTCCAAGGGCAACAGCCCCATCCACAAGTATCGTTCCTATCTAGGCACAAATGTTTAAACAGATCTTTAGTTTGGTAGCTAGAGCTCTAGTAGTCAGCGAAAATCTTTCCTAGCTGCTTTCAAGTGGAGATAGGAACGGATGGAATCATAGAGAATAGGCATGAGTACAGCCTCTATATTCAGCAGCAAAAAAGCAGTATATGTTGAAGTCCTGCCATGTGCCCGGCACTGTGCCAGGCACCAGGGATCTGATGCACATGGGGTGGACATGATATGGGGATAGAGGGCCTGAACCTGGGGCAGAGCACGAGATCAGGATAAGACTGAGGTGAGGATTCACCTGGAGGAAGTGGCACAGCCTTTGGAGCCTCAGGGTCTTACTACGCTTTGGAGCTTTTCAGGGCTATACTTTGTGAGGATGATAATATTAGGTGCTGCAGTTCCATGCAGGATGGAGAACTGGCATGCCAGAAAAGTCCAGGAGGCCTCACCATTAGCAAAGTCAGCGATGCCGTGTTCTTCTTCAGATGAAATAAAGAACGGGCTGTACAGAGGCATTTTAAGTGGACTAATAAGCTTCTCAAAATGGGGAATAGCCCCACCCACTCACTCTCTTTACCTCTGAGGTTGTGATATGTGGAACCACACTCAGCCTGCCCAGAATTTATGTATGTGTCAGTTGTGTGTGTGTTTGTATTTTAAAAATCAATTAAAAATATATGTGGGAATGCGTACAGCACTTTTTTTTCTTTTTTTTTTTCTTTTTTTTTGCTTTTTTGAGATGGAGTTTCACTCTTGTTGCCCACGCTGGAATGCAGTGGCATGATCTTGGCTCACTGCAACCTCCACCTCCTGGCTTCAGACGATCCTCCTGCCTCAGCCTCTCGAGTAGCTGGGACTACAGGTGTGAGCCACCAAGCCTGGCTAATTTTTGTATTTTTAGCAGAGACGGGGTTTCACCATGTTGACCAGGCTGGTCTCGAACTCCTGACCTCAGGTGATCTGCCTGCATTGGCCTCCCAAATTGCTAAGATTATAGGAGTGAGCCACAGCATATTTTTTTATTGGCTGCCAACATTTGACAGTTGTAAGATTTTCTGTCAAAACCTTGCTTCCCAGCCTCTGTAGACCAGTCAGAAGGCCTGGCTGCCTGGTCTGCAGCCCCAGTCAGGAGCAGGTGGCTGAGCAGAGCGGCCCCCAGCAAAGGCACGGACACTCCCTGGTTCTCCTCGGTGCTCTCTGGCAGCCCCCTCCCTTGTCGCACCTCACTTGCTCTGCCCATTCCCGTCACCCACCCACGCTTTAGACAAGTGAGTGTGTGACTGCTTACATTATCGGGCCTACCCTGTTGGAGGATCTACACTCAGGGAGAAATTTATCGTAGTAGATCATAGCATGTTGAAATCAAACAGTCCTGAATCCCAGGACTGGCGGAATCCAGCTCCACTGCACCTGAGCAGTGGTGGTATCACTTTGGGCAGGTGGCCCATGAGCCCTGCCATAAGTGTAAAGAGAGTACTGTAAGCATTTGCAAAACGGGAAAGATCCCTCTTCATTTGGAGTATTGTGAGCATTTAAGGCTCTAATGATTGTAGGCGCACTATACATTATTACCATGTGATATCGCAAGGCTTGGTTTGTTAGAAGGGGTGTAAGAAAGCAAAAACGAAAAACTTAGAATTGAGAACCATGTTTGAGTAGTGGCTGATGACAGATGACTGGAGTTCAGGGACTTGCTCTTCAGCTTACCGTTGTGACTTTGGACAAGTTGTCTAAGCATGTTGATCTTTTTCCATCTGAAAAATGAGTATAATAAAGCCCACCTCACCCTCATTTTTATGAGGGGTCTCATAAAAATTAAATTATATCGTGCTTTGTGTGCCCCCGAAAGAAAGGAATGGGGTTTCAAAGAACCCAGATTGTTCTTCCTAAGAAGAAGCAGGGCACGATGTGGATAATGTGTGTCAGTGGCCTGGCAGCCAGGCTACACGCCTTGGATAGTGGGAAAGGAATTGTTTCCTAGATCTTCAGTTTCCACATGGGTGTTTTCTGAAATTGAATTCCCCGAGAACATGCCTTTGTGTAGGCACCAAGCCGTTTCTCTTCTCCGACCACCCGTAATAGTGATTTCTCCTCCATCCCAGGAGAAAGCACACCTGTCCCGTATCTGAGTCTTCCTGTGGAACTCTCTCTCGGGGGTGCAAGAGTAAGACAGAATAATATGCAAGTTCCCACTATTAAAGAATTCTTTTGATTTTTAAATGGATAATATGGGTCTGAAAACGATTGTTTGCATTTTATTGAATATACAGAGAGTCCCCAACTTAACGATGGTTCAACTTAACAAGTTTTTGACTTGACGTAGGTGAGAAACCCTTCTGTTTTTTACTTTAATTATAGTATTTAGTAAGTCACATGATATATTCAACAGTTTATTATAAAGCAGGCTTTGTGTTAGATGATTTTGCCCATTTGTAGCCTGATACTAGTGTTCGGAGCATGCTTAATATAGGCTAGGCTAAGCCATGGTGTCTGTGAGGGTAGGTACGTAAAATGCACGTTTGACCTAGGATATTTTCAACGTGTGATAGGTTTATTCGGACATAACACCTTCATAAGGCAAGCAGCATTTCTATTTAAAATAATTGTGTAGGCCCAGCACAGCGGCTGACACCTGTAATCTCAGCACTTTGGGAGGCCGAGGCAGGCGGATCATTTGAGGTCAGCAGTTCGATACCACCAGCCTGGCCAACATGGTGAAACCCCATCTCTACTAAAAATACAAAAATTAGCCGGGTATAGTTGGTGCATGCCTGTAATCCCAGCTACTTGGGAGACTGAGGCAGGAGAATCGCTTGAACCCGGTAGGCGGAGGTTGC